CTAACACTTGATCGGCTTCATACCCTGGACAAGTAGCTGAAGTTCAAGCTCAAATCCATGCATTTACATTCCTGCTATGTTAATGCTAGAAAAGACGTCTTGCAGTCTGGTGGGGACCAAATTCACTTGCTAGTCTAATCCATGCGGGTGAAATTCTTCACCAAACTCAAGGACTAATTTCTGCACTTAAAGCTGAGTTCACTACACGTTTATCCTTATGGCTTTCCTCTGCGGATTTGAAGGATTTTTTTTTTTGCTTTGAACGTGAGCAAATTTAACAAATTCTGCAAATAATATGGGATGATGATTGCGCTGGTAGAGACGTTCAAGAAGAAATCGCCTTGATTTATATGTAACTCGGCTCAAGCAATTTAAAATAAACTTCTGCAAAAAATTATCGAACCTGCATTATTTCAATCATTTCGCGACTTGCCAGGTGGTTGCAATCTGTGAACAGACTAACCAGCAGTGGAACGTTGTCAACGTTTTGCAGATGAGGTCGAATGTTATCAATTCCTGAAGCAAGTGATCTTACAAATACTGCCTGTCGTCTTACTGTCAAGTAAAAACTCATTTTCAAATTATCACTGACCGGAAGGCAATTTTGCTTTGTTTGGAAAAATTTCAGGCGCTGTCTCATCGCTCCATGAGTAAAACGAGCGCCGATTTTGAACTTCTTTTAAAGAAACTGCCTAAAACCAATTATACTTGATTAACCAATTAAACTGCATTTTAAAAAAAGGGCAAAAAAAACAGATTTTCTTTTATTACTAATTGAAACGACTTTGAACTGATATTTGAAGACTTAAACGCACAAAGAGAATTACACACAAACCGATTTCGAAGAAAGCTGTCTGATTGTCGAGAAAGCCTGCGGCAACAACTCCGCTTCGGCGCTGCGGTTTGAAAATTTCCTGAAAATCTCACGCCGAACTTTTATTATTAAAAATTTCTGAACTTCGCAATGAATATGAAAATTATCTTCTAAAAACAAAACTATCGTTCACTGCGAGCGCTTTGTTTCCGCGGAAGTGGAAGATTTCACTGAGAATGTATCGGCTCGACCACAGATTTACAAGAGTTAAGGAAGAACTTTATAATTTGCAAAAGTTCACAGCAAAATTTAAAAGTAGTTTGATTTTTAGCAAGCACCTTCCCCTCTCAATCTTACTTCCCCAACTTCCCGATAATGCATAAAGCACGTCTTCGGCGACTGTGTCTTTTTTTCTAGTCCGTCCAATCACCATCTCATTTCAGCTGGAAGGATGTCTCCATTTCGAAATGCACTTCAAATTACCTGTAGGTATTGTCAGAAGAGATGGAGAAGCGACTTTCTCGTAACGGGAAGTATTTGCACCAAGTTGCTGAACGATGTATCGGTAACAGGGCTGAAGGACTACATGTGCTCTCTCTCAAATCCACCGTACTGCTCGTCACTCTGAGCTGCGCACCTTTAATTTTTTTTTTAGCTCAGTGAAAAAAGGGTCAGCTGACAATTCTAATCATGATTCTTTGAATTTTTAGCGTAAATTTTGCTGCAGGATCATCATATAAAATATGTACATGGAATTTACACAAGATGATCTATAAGCAACAGAAAAATGGCAAAATGAAGACATGTCAGATGGTACCGCAAGGTCAGGAGTTCGTTGTTCACCACACGCTTTAGTATGGCAGAAACGAACCAAACAGGCAGCCATACACATTTAACTTTTACATCTACTTTTATTAATGAGGCGTATTTCGCTGTTTTTTTAAGATTGAACCGGCGCAGTGGAGCACTGAAAATTTCTACCTTCATTCGCAAGCGATATATGGCAATTCCAGCCCGCTTCCAAACCCAGTTTCTCAGCGAAAACTCGGCTACGCAATTCGTTCTCTTTTGAGAAATAGACGAAACGGACGCAAGCGCGATCCAGCTGTTCCACCATTTCAACCACATCACTTCGCGCCTGAAAACGAAGCAAAATTACTCCTTTCAGCAGTGGTGATGTCCTGGAGTCCCAGAAGAAGTTCAGTGTGATTTATTGGATCGATCGTTGATATATCGTTCAGTCAGTTCTCAGTCTCTTCCTTCAAAATTTGTTTGATGTAAATAAAACGATGTAAATTTTTTCCTATTTTTATGCGTTTTTTGCAGCTATGCAATGCAGAAAACGCATACTGACGAGAGGTTGTCTGTG